GCGCGGAGCCCCCGGCGCCCGAGGGCGGCCCGGGCTCCCCCGAGCGGGGCGGGCTGCGGGTGTCTGCGAGGGGCCGGGGCGGCCGTGGGGGCTGCCCTTAGCCCCCTGCGTTCCTCTGTCCTGCTGTGTCTTGGCGGGTGCGTTTCACACGGAGGTGCCGGCGTTTTGTCCGTTTGTTTATCGTTTCCGTGGCCTCCGCAGGGTTAGSAGTGCGCGCTGTTTGGTCGGCGAGCGCGAAGCTGTGGCAGCTGCGGCATGTGTAGGTATGTGGTTGGGCAGAGCGGAGCGCGCCGGGGGTGGCCCTGCTCCTGCAGGGCTCCACAGCGTGTCCTGCCCCGGGAACAGCTCCGTGGGCGCGGGCGGGATGAGGGACCCGGGGGGGCTCTGTCTGTCCGATCTTCCCGTCACGTCACCGGCCACTCCCGTCCAAAACACACGTGCTGTTTCCACGCAGGACTTCGGGATGTTTATCCCAGTTCTGTTTCCAGTAATATCATTCCTCACCCTTGATATCCAAATTGCATGTTTGGAAACTGGTGGGGATAGGAAACTAATTCTGAGCACGCCTGCAGCTCTGCCCTTACTCAGCAAGCGGCTCCTGAAGGCTGCTCCTTGTTTGTGCCAGGGTGATGGAGAGCCCTGCCCGCCTGTCTGGAGACGGCCACGGAAAGGCGGGCAGGTCACACACGGTTATTAACTTGGATACAGTCACTGGTGTGACTCAGCTGGCATCAATTTTTGTGGAGCGTTTAGCATTAACCATTTCCCCTGTTAACTAACATCGTGGAATGGTGCTTTAGAGGTTACTTGATAATCAAATGATAGTCCGTGGTTTTCTGTATGCTTATTTGTTTTCTCTTTTTTTTTTTTTATTAAGAAAATAAACTGTCCACATTTAACCTGCTATTCTGCATCCCTTTTTATTCCGTCATCTTACTCTTTAATATTCTTTCTTCTTTCTCACTATGAGCAAGTGAATGCAGAAGTATTTGGTGAAAGGAATAAAATAAAATTATGTATTTTAAAACTAAATTACCAAATGACCGAGGTTTGTCTTACTGCAGTGTTAGGCTTCTGATCTGATTGACCACATTGTGTTTCTAACCCCAACACCTGCTCTTTGTGGGTGCGTTAGGCTCAGGCTGCCCAAATAACAGTTTGTTGTGTGTGGTGGGTTTTTTTTTAGGTTCTTATGGCAACTAGATCAGCTTTTGTGTTCTCTGTTTCCGCTCCTCCAAGTAGGTTGTTTCTTYAACCCGTTGTTTCCATAGTGCTCTCCTCTCTGAAACCATCAGTGTTAGTGGCACTTAGTACCTCCCATCCGAGGGCYGGAAAGTGTCAGCTAAAGCAAGTGAACTTACTGGGATTTGTGCTGTGGATTTGAACATCCTTATCTATCTCAGCAAAGCAATTACATTTTATCTACCGATCCCATGGAAGACCCAGTTTCTCACCAGATCAGAATGCTCCTATTTTGCATGCACTCAGTACTACATATTATTGTAATTTTTTATTGTCATTGACAGATACAAAACCAGTAGTTTCCTTAAATATTTATATGCCAGCAATTAAATGTAATCCATTTAATGCGTTGTTTAGTTTCCGGATAGTTGAGGTTATGGATGCTAATGGAATATCTGCGTGTAGCAGACTCGTGTTTCACAGACACTGTGCAGACGTTTTGTTGATTCCTTTCAGAGGCTGTTGTTGCTAGTGCAGCTGGATAACTCCTCTGGTCAGTCCTCTTGGGCAGCCTGTGGCTAGATTCTTTCTTCAGGTAGTTTTCTTCTTGAATTAAGATACAGAAGCTCTTCATTTGTTGCCTGCTTGTAAATCCTTACTGTTTTTCCAAGCTGCAGTGGATACTGCGTAATAAAGGAAAAGATGCRCACACATCAGAAGACTTGGACATGGAGATGGCTGGAAGGATTATTTTTAATGTTACTTGATATCTTGTTCTTTTTTTTTCCTTTTATACGTAAGATTTCTAATATATGAGTAATCAAGGAAAAATTAAGTTAGCTCCTTGTTTGTTGATGGGAGTGTTAAGATTTGTTGATAGGAGGTGGTTCCATCAGTCCAAAAGTTTTAATTGAACATGTCTGAAAAATGGGTTCTTCAGCATCGTTCCCCAGACTAAGTCAGGCCTCAGAAAGCTCTCAGGGCTGTTGTGGCAGACCTCATTTTTTTTTTGTTTTCTGAGGTAGATGTACTGGAAGAAACTGATTAGCAATTAGACTTGTCGCCTGGCAGGAAGGCAAAGGTCGCTACRGAGCTGAGCGTGGGTGTTTTGCTCGGGAAGCAGTTCTCAGTTTATAGTCGTCACGGAAATGTGGGTTCATCCTCAGGGGGCAGGTGCTGTCTCGCAGCTGGTTCTCTTAGTTTTGACTGTTGCTGTCTTTGGTAGCTCATCCACAGCCTGGTAACTTCATTTGTGAAAGACTTTTTTTTCTTCTTTCTTTTATATAATTACAATTTTTAAATTTTTAAATATAGGATATGGCAGGGAAATCTCTAGTCATTTGGTTCTTCAAAGTAGCTTAGCTGAAAATATCCAGGAATTTTAGAAATGTAACTTTTCTGCATTGCACTAGTTTAAGAAGTACAACAAAGACTGAAGAAGTTATTGGCTGGAGTACCAAAGATATGAAAAACAGAAATGCRTTGGCTGTCTTTATTATTATTATTATTTAAAGAACAGGAGGGAGAACAAGAGAATGAACAGCTTCATTTTGAGTTCCTGAAAAATAATTTTAAAACAAAGCCAATTTCTAAGCATCTAGACCATAAAACATGAGTAAAGCCAGCATGGGTTTGTCAAAGATAAACTGTAAAAGTATTCTAATCTCTTTTCTTAATACACCAGCAGGTGGATTATATATGAGAAAAATCACTTAATGTCCCATATCTGGGCTTTGATTCYGTTTAACATGATGTTTTTGTAGCCAAACTAGGGAAGTTCGGGAACTACTGGTGCATAGAGAGGTGAAGCTACACGAATAAGATCAGCTACTCTGCCATATTTTCAAAGTTTCCGTAGTGAAGTTATGTGGTTATTAAAACTAAAGAAAGCACAAAGCTCGGAGGGATTATGGGCATATTTTAGTGTGTTATTGGAAATCAGGATGCCTTAAAGGTTCAGAGATGAAGCATGTGGCAGGGGAAGGGAGTTCTGTGACAGGTGATACTGGAGCAGGATTTATCAAAACTACCCAAATACAGATTGGAAAACAGCATTGTGTTGTTAAGGGTGAAGGATTTAGGAATTTAGTGAGCTTCATGCAGGTTGTGCTTTTCTTTATAAGTTTCAGTAAGATGTGAGAAGCAATTTTGACCCTCAGTTTAGCCCTTCTCRTGCCATAGGTGTAATATTGTGGGTTTTCCAGCCAGTTGTAGAAGTTGGGGAAGAGTGTCAGGGAGAGTAGTGAGAAAGCTGTAGAAAAAAATCTCAGGGCAATTCAGAGAGATTGAGGTAGTAATTATATTAGTTTCCAAAATGAACAGTGTGCTAGTAAATCATTTCATGCAAAATTTGGAAACAGCGTTACGGTATAGTGTGAGATTTCTGGTTCAAGTGGTGTGGGAGTTGACAACAGTGGACTTCACACATGCACCTTATTCTTTTCAGGAAACAAAATGCTGTGTAAAAGCCAATGTAGAGCTGCCAAACTGCTTTAACTGTTGGGGAATTAAATGTGAAAGCAGTAAAATGGCAAATTTTCAGGGATATATGGCAGAATTATAGGAAGTGCCAGTGTTGCAAATTTGTAACTTTTTTAACTGGGAATAAGACAATTTTTACTGCTTAGATCTCATACATAGGAGTCTGCTAAACACTATCCTGAGAGATTGTGCTTAAAGCATTTCATTTACTRTGGTTTATTTCACCATTTTTTTAAGAGATTTAAAATAAGTTGATGGAATCACTAGTGGCAGTATGTTTTAAAATGGAATTTCTAGTGAAAAGTGAAGGCACTGCAAATGCAAGCAGGGAAGCCATAGTAAAAGCTTATTTCAATTGTATCAAACCAGCTAAAACAGCAGCCTAAGTGGGTAAACTAGCCTGTCTGAATAGAGAAATAAATTGTGAGGGCAAAAAGCATATGAAGTCATAGGTTAAAATTAAGCGTATTTGAAAACATTAGAAACCTTAAAAATATAACAAATTGGTGAAGTCTTCTCTAACAGATCATGCTAAGTTTGTGAATGCTTTTTTGATTATTTTTACTTACTGACAGCAGTAGCTACCATTTCCTAGAAATTAAATGTACTAATTCTTCACCTGTCGCAGCATTTTTAACTGCATACCAGCTACCAACCATTTTATCTTAGGGAATGATCCTTGCAGGATGTTATGGGTCARTGTTGTGAGCTTATTTGTCTTACCAGGCTTATAGCCTTGGCATATTTGGTGTTTTGGAGATTCTTTAGAATAAAAACCTTTAGCAGTTATATTTCTAGAAAATTAGGTGATAATTAGGTGATAATTCACATAAAGTAAATTTATTGTTGTTATGATTAAATACTGCRAGTGACTTTGTTTCTTTCCTTTTTAGAGGCAAGCAGTGGAGATCTGCTCCAAGTGGCTTATTTTTGCAGGAACATTCCATGGCCAGGAGGTACAGCAGGGATTACAGACTGAGGGTGTGGGCTGGGCAATCTGTGTGCGTGTCAGAAACAAAGAAATCAGCAAGTGCTTGGATCTTTATGTGTCTGCCAGTGTTTTCAGGGTCAAATCTGGTTGCTGGTCAAAAGAAGCAGCYTCCTTGACTTCTGTGGCAATTGAATTTAGCCTTTAATTTGCTCCTCCCTGATTCCTGTGTAAACTGGGRTTTGTGCAGCCTTTGCCTAACTAACAGAAGGCCTGTTGGAAGTTGTAGGCATTCCTAACAGCCCTGTCTGCCTGGAACACAGTGTCAATAAATCCMAAGGGTGAGCAAAGCAAAATTCCAGTGGTACTGATAACAAATGCTGAACAGAGACCTCTGTTTCTCTGAAGAGCAGAGGTGGGGTAGGAAGATGAATTAACCTGCTGCCTCTTGGTACATGAATTCTCAAATCTAGAAGAGCTAGACTGACATAYCCTATCCTTATGCTCTTAATTGTGAGTAGAAGATTTAAATGCATAATTAAGAAACTGTTTATTTAAAAWTTTTTCTCAGTAGCTTTCTGGAAATAAATTTGATCTTAAACCTTTCATCTGGCCTTTTCAAAATAATTGATCTCTCCTAGAATAAAAAAGGAACAGTGAAGTTTCTTTTGAAATTTATACCAGTCTAAAAATTATTATAGTTTTAGTTAGTGGCAGAGACTTGACTTCTGGAATTGGAATATAGCAAGAGGAGTTATCATAGTATGTTGCTAAAATAATAAAATTGAAAAGACACCTTGCTTCATCTSATCAGAGTTCTTTTCAAGTGAACTAGAAAAGGCATTAGGGTTTTCAGTGAACTTCTGTTACACAGCTCTGTTTTCTGCGGGTCTTCTAGAGGTTTTAATGTGGTGAAATGTCTTCTTGTCTTACAGTTCTAATTCACTTCCTTAACTGAGCTGCGCTGCGTGGCTGGAGTGAACATTCAATAATGAGTGGTGCCGCTTTGGGCCTTGAGATAGTATTTGTCTTTTTCCTGGCTTTATTCCTRCTTCATCGATATGGAGACTTCAAGAAACAGCATAGGCTGGTGATCATAGGAACCTTGTTGGCCTGGTACCTCTGCTTCCTTATTGTGTTTATACTGCCTCTGGATGTTAGCACGGTGAGAAACTTCTAAGATTGTCCTACTTCATTGAATACATATGTAGGTGATTCCTCTAAACTCATAATTTCAGAAGACAATTATACCTTTAAAATAGAAATCCTAAACAAGATACATTTTTCAAATGTATACTGTTAAATACAATTATTGATTTGACTCTTTCTCTGTTTACAACTGACTTTCTTTTTTTGTTGATGCCCTCATCAGGTAAACCAACGCTTGCTTTAAAATTTCATTATTAAGTTGTTTATAGTATATCTTGTAATCTGAACAAATAAAAARATTCACTTTTTCTGTTACTGGCCCTGTAGATTGCATGTTTATTTGAAAGMTTGCTTTTTGCTAGTTTAATTACTTTCAAGTGTAAAAGTGGAATGCAAGAAGTGTTTTCTAAAAAGCAACCTTTTATGTAATTGTTGTGCCTTCTTCTAGTCGTTAATGTAAAGTTATGTGTTTTATAGACTATATATAATCGCTGCAAACTTGCTGTTAACTCCAGCCCTCCAGAAAATAATGGCTCCTACGTTACGCTTGCTCCAAGGTATGAGCTGTATATTTTCTTTCTTAGAATGTTTTTAAGTAAGGATTTTGCAAGGGAAAAGACAGTGAAGGAAAATGCATCTGTGTTTGTTGCTCAGCATTTATGTATAACAACAGTAATTTTCAAACTTTAAAGAATGGTAGATATTTTTCATGGTGATTCATTTTATTCTCTTAGATGTATCTGTGATTTTGACTACTGACTATGTCATATTCAAAGTCTCTTTTCTGGATGGGGGAATTTATAGAAAAAAAAACCCTATAATATTGACTGTACAACTAACATTAAGMTCTCTTATATTACTACAGCAAGCCAAAGTGTTTCAAACCATGGAGTTACATTCCTAATGGGATTATGCCAATTTTCTGGCGTGTTGTATATTGGACWTCACAGTTTTTAACATGGTAAGTAAAGCAAAGGAATGTAACAAAGACCRTGATACCTTTATAACATCTTAACAGTCTTACTGTACTCCTTAAGAGTATATATTGCTACTCCACAAAGCTATCTAATCGCATCTGTTACTTCTTACTCAAGAAAGATTTCTGTTAATGCATTCAATTGACCTTATATTTCTGCTCCGCCTCTTCAAATGAAAGCTATTTACCTCGGTTCGCTTTTGGAGTAGAAACTAGACAGTTTGCTCTCAATTTTTTCATGGGGAGGTGATATGAAAAGTTTTTTTGTTTTCTTTTCCCTTACCCAGTAGTAAAATTAGTTAGAAATTTCTGAGTTGCACTCTAGAGTACTTGGTTTTATTGGATATAACTTTATTAAAGCTTGTTTTGTTCCTACAACATCTTATGCAGAAGATTACTTCTAAGTGATCAGAAATTTGTCTTTTTCTATTCCCAACTCCATGTTCTTTATCTCTAACTTTACTTGTGAGCATAAGAGTATAAAAAGTTATATTACTAAAGAATAAAATATATAGAATCTCTCTATAATAGGAATCTTATCTACAGGGTGTTGTTTTGTTTTTTCCTTTACTCTCTATGTGTATAAAATGCAGTTCTATGAATGACCGTTATTTTGCTAAAGTGCCTCAAATATATCTAAAGGATCTGAAGCCTTAGCCAAGGTTGACCGTCTTGCTCCAACAAGTAATGTGAATATTTTTGGTCTAGATCAATGTATGGTTTCTAATCAGCTAATAATCAAATCACCATCTTTTTAGCTCAGTCAGAAAGATCAACTTTAGTTTTGTCTGTTATTTCTTATGGTAAAGCTAACTGACATGTTTTTATCTACAATTTATTTATAGCCATCAGACCAGTGTATGCAGAATAAAAGCATAGGGTAGCTAACACATTTTGCTAGAAGCTTGGGACTTTTTAAGTTAAAGGCCCTGTCTTGATACCTAGTTACAGGTGCACTTTTCCTTTTTTCTGGCTGAGATGAGCTGTTCTTTTTTATTTTGTTTGTTTGTTTTCTTTTTCTTCCTAGGATTCTGTTACCCTTCATGCAGTCGTATGCGAGATCAGGAGGGTTCTCCATTACTGGGAAGATTAAAACTGCGTTGATCGAGAATGCAATCTATTATGGCACTTACTTGCTGATTTTTGGAGCTTTTTTAATTTATGTGGCTGTAAACCCAAACTTCAATTTGCAATGGTAAGAACAGGGGTGTATTGTACTTGCACAAAATCTGTAAAAAATATGTCATCACAGATAGATCTTCTATAGATTAAATGTGTTTTTCTTTGATTTTTCTTTGGGTTTGAGGAATCCCTTTATATTTGCAGTGTTTTTTTCTTCTTCTCTAACAAATGTATTTGCAAAACTAATGCTAAAACCTTTTCAGTCCTTTGAAAATWACAACCTTAAAACAAGTATGCCAGCCTGTACCTCCTGTCTAGCACTTCTGTGTAATGTAGAGTCAGTTTAATGGCCTTAAGGTAAGTCAAAATCATTGCTGTTTGTAATGTTAGTCTTGCACGTTATATGCTGTAGTACACTCAACTGTTTACTGCTTAGCTGTTTTCAACTTTTACTGCTGGAAGAGGCTGTTTCTTATAGGGGTGCTTTGTTTTAGGAAGTTTGCCACCTTCTTTTGTTTTCTAAAGCAATAGATTCCTTCTTGTTTCCCTCCAGAGAGGGTACTCTAAGCAAAAGAACCTCATGCCTCTTTCAAAAGGATAGGAAGAATCATAGCAGCTTCAAATGTGGCAAAGTATTAGATTGTTCCTGAACAAGCAGAATTACAGGATACTGGGCTTGTTCCTGTGCATTTGTGCCCCTCGTTCCTGCACAGATATTTCACATGTGTTCTTTCCATGTGTGTAGATTGGTTGTTTRTTTATTTATGTATTTTTAGGAACCAACTTCAGACTATTGGGATAGCAGCAGCAAACACTTGGGGTCTCTTTCTTCTTGTGTTGCTTCTGGGTTATGGTTTGGTGGAAATTCCCCGTTCTCACTGGAATGGGGCCAAACGGGGTTATCTTCTCATGAAGACCTATTTCAAAGCTGCCAAACTGATGACCGAAAAAGCAGATGCAGAAGAGAATTTAGAGGATATTATGGAGGTAGGTAATTAGCTTTCCCTGTGAAATATAAGCGGTCTAGATTGCTGTTAGTCATGTCTGAATTTCCTGATGTTGGGAGGAAGGAGGCCATTTGTGTCMGAAAAATTTAGGTGGCACAAACATACTGTGAAATATCTCAGTTTTGAGAGTATCACTGTGGTTTGCCACTCAATGACACTAGGTCCTACGTAAAATCCAAAGCAGAAATATTGCCTGACGTGGAGAATTTTTATCTCATGGCAGCTCAACTGCCTTTTATAACTTGAAGGGCGGTCTGTATTCATATRGTCTCCTTTTGAACTACATAAATGCTCTTCTAGTTCCATCTGCCCAATGTCTACAATTTATGTTCATTCTCTTTTAAATGAAATGGGTAAAAATTTGGATGCAAKTACTTAATTTCATTCCAAGGCTGGTTGTGTCTGTGTTGCCTATAGGATGAAGAAGGAAATCCAATTCTCAGTATGACTGATAAGCTGTTAGAACTAGTTTTGACAAAGCTTGTCTAGCCATTAGGTAGCATCTGTTTATTACTGATAATAAATGCTCTTTTGAATGAGGTCAAATGGTCTCAGAAGTGAGTTATCTGGAAATAAGCAGGAGATAAGATTAATTAAGCAGAATAATAGGATACTTACCAAGCTTCTTAAATTAATAATATTAAACTAAACCAGATAGGAAAAAAAAATGCTGCCTCTTTTCCTACAACTAAAACGAGAAAGGATTTTTCATTTGTTTATTCTTTTTTTTATGCACAGGAGGTTCGTAAAGTAAATGAAAGTATCAAGTATAATCACCCTTTGCGAAAATGTGTTGATACAATATTGAAAAAGGTAACTAATTCTTTATTTTCATCTTAACTTAAAATCTCTAATTTGCATTGTGACTTCCGCTGGCCACATTTTAGTTGAAGTTCTCTATACAGTATACAACAGATTACAATATATGTTTTATCTGCTTACTGTATACTAAGATATGTATTTTTTAAGAAACAAAAGTTGATTATTCTGGAACAGGAAAATATGAATTTTTATTATACTAGTGAAAGACAAATACTGCTACCAAAACCTTTTCAAAAAGGAAAATCGATATTTAGAGTGTGAGCTTAACTTTCGTGAAATGTCAAAAAAATACTTTAATAATGAAGAACACTCACTACTGCTTCATAATTCAGTTGATTTTCCTTTCCCTTCCAGTGTCCTACAGAGTACCAGGAAAGAATGGGTAGGAACATGGATGATTATGAAGATTTTGATGAAAGACAGAACAGTTATCCGAGTGAAAAAAGTTTGGTCAAACTTCACAAGCAGGTATATTGATGAATGAGATGACACCCTGTTTATGGTAGTGTAATGAGAATAAAAGACAGTCAAATTGAGATTTTATGTGCATTTTGATGCTTGATTGGCTTAGGATTGTGCATTTTGGGATTACTACATCAAGAAAATTTTTGCAGTTACAGTAACATAGTTTGGAATGCCAACTGACTTCCAGAAAGATTATGATGAGAACATTAAAACTCAGGATTCTTGTAGCCCTCTTCTATCACTTTCAAGAGAATTAACTTCCTGTTCCTTTGGGTTTACAGAATAGTTATGCAGTTCTATAGTCTGCAGTTCTATAATGTGGTAATTTTTGAGGGATTTTACAAGACTTTCTTGGAACAAGGATGCTGTAACCAGGGGTTCTTCGGATTTRTTTACTACAGGTAATTTATTCAGTACAGAGACATCGTCGCACACAAGTCCAGTGGCAAATTCTCTTAGAACAAGCCTTTTATTTGGAAGACGTGGCAAAAAATGAAACCAGTGCAAGTCGGCAGTTTGTTCATACTTTTCAATCTCAGGAATCAGAGAATAAATTTTTTCAGTATTTCTACACACCAACAGTTGGTAAGTATTATCATGCAGATTTTGAATATATAAAGGAATACCTCGTACCTTTCTATGAGAAAATTAGATTGTTTTACATAAACAGCACAATGATAATAGAGGGCAGCAAATGTACATCTTAGTGAGCTTTTGTGATGTAATGGCCAACAGCTATTGATTCATGATTTTGGCCATAAACTTAAAGAAACTTACTGTTATATGTTGTAATAGCAGTAGAAACGGTAGAAAGATTTCTTAAAAGAAGAAAGAAAAATAGAAACTTTAGACTGGGGGATCATGGTTACAGTTTGTTTTTGGGACACACAGTTCTTCTATTAAGAAGAATCCTATGTCCATCCTATACCAAATATTTGGAGACATGATTCCTTGTGCATCTTCTAAGAACGCACCTTGTCCCTCCCAGTTCTCTAGCTGGTTTCTTAGGGCTGAACCAGTTCTCTAGACATCAGAAAAGCACTGAATTTAAGTGAATGACACCACAGATCCCAGCCTTAGTTCTAAGGGCAAGTGTAAGAAGCTTAGAGCAGTTTAAGGCGGTTCCATTTCTGGTTGTGTAATTTACATTAACCAATTTGGCATGTGTGTGTATGTCTATTTTTTCTTCTCTCACCAGAATGGTACTGGGAATGTCTTCTACGACCATGGTTTTACAGGGTTCTTGCTGTTGTTTTGGCCACGTTCTCTGTGATTGTTGTGTGGTCGGAGTGCACTTTTTTCAGCACAAAACCCGTTYTATCCTTATTTGCAGTTTTCATACAACTGGCAGAAAAAACATACAATTACATATACATAGAGGTAAGTATGAAATAATCGATCAGCAAAGATGTTTATAGTTAGATTGTGATTGCAATAATAGTAGGCTATTCTGGTTTTAAAATAAATAAGCTGTAAAGCTGTCAACTTCCAAAAGGTCTCTAAAATATGTGACACCAAATTTGCCTTCTGCAGAGAAGGTTACTTCTTCAGTTACAGTTCTTACACTTCTCTTTGCAAGACAGTTTTCCACCTGAGCTAAGTAGGACATAGTGGAATAATTTGTGCAATAATAGCCTAGAACTTTAGACTTGGTGTCTGATATGTCTTTAATGAGCCATGTATGCAGCCTYTCCTAAATACTAATTTGCTCCTGACTTAAAACGTCTGCCCTGAGAGGTGTGAGCAGCCAAGAGTGCTCAAATTTATCAGTAAAGGAGCTGAGCTGAAAAATCCAGTACACTTAACACTAAAGGCTGAATTTAAAAGGCTTGTGTTACTGCTTATTTTGGGAAGAAAATATCAAATCAATCATAGTGATTATCAAGGCAATTATAGTAATTTAATTTGCGTGAAAGAAAGAAGTAGCATATATATTCCTTCAGTAAGTTGTATTTGCTTACATGAAGCACAGGGCGCTTTTGAGTTAAACTAGAAAAAAAAAAAAACCCGAGCTGCTACTTACAGCTTATATTATTGATTCTTCTCAGAATGAARAAATAGTACTGTGCACTCAACCTGTTGAAAACATAGGCTGTAAATGTTAAAACCCTAACCAGAGTTCTAAATTCAAGTGTTCCCTTTTTCTTTTTTTTTTCCCCCTTCTAGATGGCCTGTTTTCTTACCATCTTCTTCGTAAGTATCTGTGTTTACTCTACTGTATTCAGGATCCGCGTATTTAACTATTATTACTTAGCTTCACATCATCAGACAGATGCATACAGTCTCCTTTTCAGTGGAATGTGAGTACATAATATAAACTATGGCTTTCTGAACTAGATTTTCTGACAAATAAAGAACRTTAAATTTAATGTATGTTTTTAATTTTTTTATGATTATATGAATATAAATTCCATTAAACTCTTCCTCATTAATTCATATTGTATCTAGCTGCCATTTATTAGTATTTTTAATGCAAGAAACTGTATTTAGGTATTTCACTTTACATTTATACAGGTTATTTTGCCGTCTTACTCCACCTTTATGTTTGAATTTTTTGGGCTTGACTCATATGGATGCAACAATTTCTCATAAACACACTCAGCCAACTGCTTACACATCRGTAAGTAGAGAAAAACATATTTTTGAGGCTTCTGTATGATTTAGAAAAGAGGAAAAATATTTTGAGACATTTGTTTAGRTTTATTAAGACTCAGATCGTTCTCCCCACCTTACCCAGAATTTCACTAATATTAAACAGGGTAGAATTATAGACCAGGAGTTTGATACTCATCACTACCCATGGTAATTACCAGTAGCTCCATGTTTCAGTTTGGTTCASTTTTTGCTGAAAGGTGCAGCTGTAGCTTCTACCAGCTTTAGTGTGTGAAGTGTCTCTGTGCTTCRGGAGCAAACCTAACTGTGCACTGAAAACCATGAGGCTGATTTTAAGTGAGCAACTAATTTTGCAGGGTAGTCAGCCGCCTCTGCCTTTATCAGAAAATAGTTTATTGGTCTAGAAATTTCTTTTACAGCAGGTACAATCATTGACCAATTTGAAGCTGATTCTGTGTCAGGTGAAGCAAAAAGGTCTAGTATGGTAGAAACCTCAGAGTCAACATCCTGCTAGAGGTAACTTTATTGCTTGGCACTCCAGGTCAACTGCCTAAAAYAGATCTATAATGGTAACACTTCAAATGGTTAACTAAATAATTATTAACTACCTTTCGAAAGCTGCAGAGCAATATGTGTATTTGTGAAAAAGGCAAGATGTCTTTCTGGATATGTCTAGAGTATGTAGAACTTACTCTTGTACTATTTTTCCAGATAATGGGATCTATGAGAGTGCTGTCCTTCATTGCAGATGGATTTTATATATATTATCCCATGCTTGTTGTCATTCTCTGTATTGCCACATACTTCAGGTAAGTAATTTGCAAGCAAATAGAAAGAATCACAGTCCTGCTTTAATAATATTGATTTGATTAGGAAGAGATTTTCCTTCTGGCATTTGAGGTGTAACATATTAATAAAAGATGAAATTTTAGCTCATAGACTTTCTAACACACTCATAACAAGCATCTGATCAGCTACTAGACTTAATTTTAAAAGCATGGTGGTTCGAGTTCTGTGATACTGTTTTCCTGAACTAGGTACTGTTTTCCTGAACCATTGTTGGATACTGGAAGGTACTTGAGGCAAATACTCTGTTTGATTTGTCCTTGTATCCTTCCAAAATACCTGCTCTTAACCACTGTGAGAGCTGAATTGTCCTTGGTCAGTCCCTATTTGGCCCAGTTTGTCTTTGCTCCTTCAAATTTACATTGTCATTCATTGAAGGGTAAGGTATAGTTGTGAATTATGTAGAATGCACTTCAAAACCTTGAGTATCTATTAATATCTTATGCATATCCAAAGGTAAAAACAGAAGGATCTAGTCCTAGCTTTTTCCTGTCTAGCTTCAGGTTAGGTGACATGCAGTGTGGGGAAAGAAAAAATCATCAGTGTCTAATACTATGGTGAAAAGGAAGGAAAGAAAATGAAGAAAAAGTTCCTTTGCTTAAATTGTAAAGCCTTCAAGAACTCAGATATATGCTGAACTAAATGTTAAATGAAAATCTATTAAGGAAAACTGCCTCCTTTATAAAATCCATCTAAAATGCAGCATAAGTATATGGCAAAGGCAAATTTCAAAATATTATAGATGCTCCATTTAGAGAGGAAACCAACAACAAGAAAAACACAGGTTACATTCCCTGGTGGAAAATTGAAAACTTAAGAGTGTGCCAGATATTCCTCCTGAATGAAAATGAAGATGAAAGGGGCTTCCCATATCACTGTGGTTTCAGGAAATGCAGAAATCAGAATAGGTGGAATCTTCAGAGTGATTTTACTCTGACTGAGAAGAATAACGGAGCTAATACAGGTATAAATTAGCTGAGAAAGCTACAAGCAGTTGTTCTATTTTAAATCATTTGCACTACTCTCGATCATTAAATATTTTTACTGCTACTGTTAGCATTCTCCTCTTCCTAAGTAGGGTTACTGCATTGCTTTCATTTGGATTTAGGAACCTGTCAATCTTCTATTTTTTTTATAGATTCCTCAATACGTTTAATAATCTTTGTTGCTTGTTTCTTTAATTTGTCCATAATTTCCAAGTAAGCTATTTTACATTTTTCAGTATAATATGTCCAAACTATTGATTGTAGATTAACAAAGAAATTTGCTTATTCCCCTGCTTTCACCAGTTTAGGAACCCGTTGTTTGAATCTTCTGGGGTTCCAGCAGTTCATGGGGGACAGTGAAATGACATCTGATTTGATTGATGAAGGAAAAGAACTGATCAGAAGAGGTAAATTACATCCTGTTATCTCATTCTGACTACAAGAAATAATACATTGTTGCGTTAAAGATGTCTAAAATGTTGCAAGATACTTGTAACTTAGTATTTTGTAAATATTTTGAAACCCACCGAGGCAATAGAAACCTCACAACTGTAAATCTGTATGAAGTGTATCAGACTTTGTTCCCATCCAAAATAAAATGCAAACTTCTACTAGTGTCTAAATTTTARGCCCTGGATGAGCCTTGTTTTAAAATTCAGTTAGGTGGAGCTCSTCTGAAGTTAGCACTGATCTATTACTGGTCTGATGCAAGGATATTAAGATCCCGTGTAATGATTATTAGCACCTCTGGTGTTTTTTTTTTTCCTTTTTATCATCTACAACCTGATTTTAATGTTTCTTGGTGTAGGAATGTTCATTCAACTTTTCCTTCCAAATTCTATTGTCATCTTTAGTTCTTTTTGCTGTTTCAGCTAAGTACAGTGCGTTATCACAGAAAGGAGGTAATGTTGTGGAGTTGTAATTACCTGCTGTTTTGGAGAGAGTTTTAGAYTCTTACTGATTTGTTGCTGGCATCTTTTGTTGAAAGTGTCCTTTAAGTTGTTCTAAGCTGTTGTGGTTCTTGGGTAAAGATTTAGAAGTTAAAATATCTGAATGCACTGTGATACTGCTCTTTCTTAATTATTAAAGCCAATGAACTAGATTTATTTGTAGCAGGATTATTATTATTTTTTCTTCTTGAAAGAGAAGRAATGTCACTTGTTCTCTCAAAAGATTGCTTTTTGATATGTTATGTTACATCTCAGCTGAATAGTTGCTGGCAGAAATTATGTGGGGTGTTTTTAGCCTAAACAGAACTTGAACCATTATCAAATGGAAATCTTTTGCTTCAGTGTCATCTTAACATCATAYTGTTTCCAGCTGCTTTCTAGAAGTTTCCATGTACTTTGCCATCCATCTGGTTTTAAGGTTTGTGCCTTGTTCCAAGCTTTTATTCACAGTCACTGAGTTTTAATGAGAAACTCCATAATGATTGACAAGCAGCTGTCTGTGTTTTTATTGTATGAATAGTTTCCAGTAAGAAGAGTTAATCCTGAATTTTAATTACATTTGTAAAAGACAAATATAAGACCTCTCTCTCTCTCTCTCTCTCTCTCTCTCTCTCTCTCTCTCTCTCTCTCTCTTCCTTTTTTTCTGTTGATAGTGATTTTCCTTCTGTCTAAATACAGACAAATATTTCTCTCTTTCTAGAGAAAAGGAAACGGCAAAGACAGGAGGAAGGGGAAAATCGAAGAAGGGTATGAAAACGTTTTTTACATTTTAATTTTAAAAGAGGAGGGAGTAGTTGTAGTCGCATTACTTGCATCCTCTTCTTCCTGAGTGTGCTGTGAGATGGACCTAAGCCTACAGATGTGATGCATGTATTTCCTTATGCTAAATCCCTTTTAAAAAGGATCCAGACCTGTAAGGTGCTGAATATTCTGAACAATCCTGTTAAGATTGCTGAACGATTTCAATTTCAACAGTAACCCCAATTTCAGATTTTACCCGTTTGAATTTGCATTAAGTAGGTCATTCCTTCATGAAGGTTTTCTGAGTCATGCAGTTCACTGGATCATGATTATTCAGTGTTTGATCCTTCTGAGGCTGAGAACTGTTACAGCTCATGGCATAAATCAGAACAGTAACTTCAACTGAACCTACCAGTTCACCATCTGGGATCCAGATAAAAATCTGCAATGTATTGAAGTTACTTGAACCATTGGAAAAGATTCTGTTGGGAAATTAAGTTGTTACCTAAAAGAAGCATGTGACATTCTTTAATGCTTCATTATAATCCATAGTAAAAAGTATAAATGCTAAAACACAATGAAAACACAGCAAAAGTAAACATGAGTTGTCCAATGTTTGTGTTGTCAGTAACTGGACACTTTAGGGTCCTACCACTAGGTGGAAGTAGAAACAAAACCAAATAAAAAGCGATTGCTGTTGTCGCACCATGGCCTGRAGCAACTGGACAAAGCTGGTCTGTAAACTTAATTTGTAGCTTGCTTACTGTGACTCTTTCTTCTGATGACTAGTTATAGCATGTAGGGATKTATATTGAGTTTAAAATAAGGTTTAAAAAACAAACAAATAAAAAAAAAAAAGCAAAGTATCTACCTATATTAAGTATATACCTATATTAAGATACTGAGCAGTGATGTTTCGATAGGATTACTTTTGTATTCGATATGGATGCCCAATTGGGTCTATATTGGGTATCCAGAATGTCTCTTGATCCAAGTTATGCCCTGATTGTGCCATCCTTTACTTGCAACCAATAATTTTTTTTTCTTTTTTTCCAGGAATGGAAAGAGCGATATGGAAACAGAGAAGATTCCACTAGAAGCAGAGCTGTCCACACAGACCAAAAAGAGTCCAGCTTCTCCGAAACGAACACAAATAGGCGTAAGTCGTTGTGCTGTTTTTATACATGTGGTTTTTTGTTGTTTGTTTGGTGGGGTTTTTTTTGTTGTTGTTGTTTTTTGTTTTGTTTTAATATTTTGTCTCCAGGATGTTGATTATATAAATAACAGAATAACAGTAAATAGTTTCCTGTTTGTCTTGGAACAGAGTGCTGAGACATTCCCTTTTGCGCCTTTTGTGGCCTGGTACCGTCTTGCCCATTAAAGCCACTCAAAGAGAGTTCTGAATTTCCTCCCATCTTCAACACTTCTCTTTCTAGTTTAGGCTGGAGGTTCTGGCTGGTCTCAGTTACAGGGATCTCCAACRGGACGTGTAACGTTTGCAATTAGAGCAGTAGTGATCAAGAAAGAAAATTGAGCATCCATCTTAAAGTTGAGGGTTTTCTATATGTTAAAATCTTCTGCCTGCGAAAGGATTCCTTCAGACTGAAGTAATCAGATTATTCACCAACAAATGTGAAGCCAGAAACCTCTTACATGAACATGTAGATGTTCATCTAATTACTGTGAAATGAGCTTCTTTAGATCGTTACACGTGAAATTTTTGAGAAAGAAGAATAAAAGTGTTTAAAGTTTCCTTTTTTTATTGTCTACTCTCCAGCCTTACCAAAAAGTTTATTTGTAATTCTGTAAATGTTTTCTATAAGTTTTATGTCATTCTGTAAGATAACATGAGAGATGAAACTGAACAAATAGGTAATGTGACAGGATGAGTGAAGTGTTACAAAACTGTTCACAAAGTTTACTGAATAGAAGAAAGAAGAATCAAGGTATTGAGGTAACCTGAGAAGGTGCAAGACAGGCAGAAGCTTTGAACATGCTTTTCATGCAGAATTGTGGTGAACTTTCTGCTCTACTACAGTTGGAAACTTAAATTTTCACTGGTAGGCAAAGTTATTTTAATGTTAACCACATTAACATGCAGTGTTTCAATACCGCAATAAACTGTGGCCGCTGGTCTAAGGAAAGGGATAGAGTGAATTGCAAAACAGCTGTATTCATAAACTTGTTCGTTTTAAAAAAACATGCAGCCAGAAATGGTTAGATATTGAATCTATTCTAAATCAGGTTTGATGTTTGGGTGAGATGTATTATTTTAATTTGGAAATTTGGAAATGCGAAACTTTAAAAGACACTTATATAGTAAACAAATCTCTCTTTCTCTTTGTGCTCTYCAGCGCTATCAAAGTACACCCGATCAAATGGTAGGACTGAGAGAGACAGAATAGAACTGCTGCAGGATGCGGAACCTTTGGATTTTAATGCAGACTCAGTTAACGATGATCCTCTTGAATCAGAGTCCGGAAGGTAAGGAGTTGCCCATTTTATTTAAAATTAAAGAATATTAATATCTTCAGTCTTCTGATCTAATACCGCCATTTAGTAGTGATAGTTTTTCTAAAATGTTCTTTTCTTTCCTCTCTCTGACCATACAATAATTCTTTTAAAACTAGATGAAACCCAAGGGTTTATTATTTAAAATATTTTAGAAATGTCTGAGGTAGATTTGAATTGAATATCAAGTAATTTATTGATGTAATCTGCAATACAGAAGTGAAGAATCTGAAAAATGACCTGCATCCGTACAACATGAGGCTCTCTTTAATGTCTCATAAGATTTCAGAAAAGTCACTTGATTTCCCTATGGGAAGACCATCAGAAAAGATTGCAGAAATTCAAACTGAGTATTAATGGGCCTGTGCTTGTAGGAATATAGCTGAGGACTGGAGCTGCTGAATCTCAATAAAAGATAAATATTTGAATGTGTTGGACATAATGTCTTCATGCTGCAGAGTGTCTATATAGCTGTGTCTATAATAGAGCTAACTCCAGCATCAAATTTCCCAAGTCCTGTATCTTATTAGCTGGTAGGCTCTGCTCATATTTGTGAAGGAAGTTTGTGGGTGAATATTTTATCTAGGCAGTTACAATTTAGAAACATTTTGCAATAAAGCACTTTAAAAGTCTTTTTTTCTTGATTCATCTGAAAACAACTGGAGTTGTTTAAAAAAAATGAAATATAAGTAATATAAAATTATAAAATAGATATTTATAAATATATATACATATGTAATGTATGGTAATATAAAATATATTATAAAACGTAAATATAAAAAGTAAATATATATATATATTTTTTTTTCTCCTGCAATGATTACAAGCATTCTAGGACAGTGTAACAGCACTAGGGAGATGAGTTTCTAGCTTTGTGCSCAGTGTTTTAATAGCTACTGCAGAGATGAAATACATTTTGCATGTGCTGGCACTTCTGCTATTTGACCAGTGATCTGAGTCTTCTTCCCCCAGCCCTTTCAGCACCACTCCTGACCCCTCCCAGTGTCCAGCCATTTCTTTTAGTCATTTTGGATGCCACTGTTCACATGGGAATACGCAGTAGAACCATCCAAGCAAATAACTTTTGAATGTTGGTTTAAAAAGAACTTCACATATTTTACTATTTAAAACAAACAAAAGGCATTCACCTTTTCATTTAGAATATAGAATGAGAAACCAAGTTTCTTTGGGCTCCATATGTTCATGTCACTGTTTCTGTGCATCACATGACACTTAATGACCACCTAACAAAATCTCATAAAAACAAGTAGTTCAGTAGAATTTCAGATTCTAGATTCAGATACTATTCATAGTAACCCGTTGTATATAGAGTGCAATGGATTTCATATGATTTCACAGATCATTATTCTTTTTTTTGTCTGATTTTTCTTTCTTTCTTCTTGTTAACATTCAATATATAGGTACCAGCCTGGTGGAAGATACTTGTCAATGTCTCGAAGCAGAATATTTGATGATGTCTAAACTCCTTAAAACTAAAGAAAATTCTATAGAAATCCTTCCTACTCATTGATTGGAAAATACTGTATTTGTGATGTATCGCAGAACTGGAAAAGATCATTTCCATTTAAAGAGAGAATATGAAGGAACAACTACGTTTCTGGACATGCRCCTGTATGATAACTCTACCACCCGTGTGAAGACTGTGCCCTTTCTATTGTAGATACTGCTGTGCATCAGTGTGGGCTTTTGTGTCATGACCAAAAGAAGAAAACTAATTAATTAAATTACTACAGAATAAGCTGGTAAATGTACATAAGGCTCAACTTGAATTGTAACATATAAGTTTTGGGAAGAGGGTGTTTTGAAAGGTGTTTTTTCTGAACAGTCAGAGAACATCTTAATGCAGCCAAGGTGTGCAGTTATATAATTTATTATAGTAAACACTTTCTAATTTTTTTCTATTTGAACTTTATACCTAGTCCAGAATCTAGTGAATTACGTCGGGCTTCAACAGCCTTTGAATCAGATCTTTTATAACCAGAAAATTGGAGTGACTGGCTGTTCTTCATAAAATAGGCTGGCATGTATTTTGGAGCCATGTGTATTGGTCATGAAAGGTCATCTCCCTCTTCCAATGCTATATGCAATTGAATGGCTTTAGCGTGTGTAAATAATTGAATATGGACCTAAATTTCACTATCTCAGTCATGTGAGCATAAGTGCAATAGCAAGAGCACGTTATCCAAGATAAGATGCCTGCTTACGTTTTTTACAGGTAAAAAAGTTGAAAATCTTAGCACATTAATGGTTTTGTAGCTGTAAAAAAAAAAAGTAATGTGAAAATTGAACTACATACTGAAACTTTACAGTTTGCACTTGTTTCAGGCACAATTTAAAGTTTTAGAGTGTTTCTTTAGAAGAAGGGAGCTATACAGCATGACTGGATCTGTAAACACTTCTGATGTCCCAGCTGCCCTGGTTGCATTAYGTTATCTATCTCTAAGGTGCCTGTATCTTACACTAAGCTGTTGCAGAAAAGATTAAATGCTTATTCATTTAAATGCCATTCCAAAATGCCAATTACTAGCTGTATAAAATATTTTAAATTAATTTGTGGTGTAGGTGTATTTTTAAACTGCAGTTAGCTGAATGAATTTTCTAATTTAATCGTAAGGTAAAAGATGTAGTCACACTCATGATATCTTGGGAAACTGGATTAACTAAAAATGTTGTTTTATTGCAGTTTGTCATATGTTTTTCCCACTTGAGAGTGTTCTTACKTGCTTTTTGCAAAGTGATGGAGACTGAAATATAGAGGTAGTTTCTATCGTAAACTCTTGGAAGTTTATCATGCTTCAAMAGCCTAACAGTCGTGCTCATCATGCTTAAAAGACAGGCAGCCCTTAAAGCAGCTGGGAATCGGTTATTCTGAAAATTTTCATGAGTTAAATCTTCTACTAATTCTTAAAAGAAATCTTTTTTTTTTTTTTAATTTTAATGAAATTCTACCTACCTCCTCTGATTTAGTACATTAGTGGTAGCACTGAATTGTTACCATGAAGAGGAAAATAGTCTGCTTGTGTTGAAGTAATTGCATTAATAAATGGGCAGACATTAAATAAGGGTCAGTTCAGCACTTAGGTAAATGCAGTGAATGGCAGTGACGTCCACGTTTGGCCAAGCATGTACAATTTCCAAAATACATGTTAAGAGATATTTTGATTTCATCACAGTCTTCTTGCTGCATCAGGGACTGGAAGCTGAGAAAATGGGAGACACTTTTATGCAGTCTGTTCTTTTGCAATGTTAACACTTTTATATTAGATGTATTTAGAGAAAAAAAAGTATAAATTCAGCATTAACTGAATAGGGTTGCTCGGTTTATGTATGTTCTTGAACACCATGTGAATGTACCTAGACTTGGTATTTCTATTTTTAAAATTACAGTTACAAAATAAGTTGCAAAGTCTTCATTTAACACCTGAAATGTCACCATAGAGGGATCTAATTCAGTGCTAATAGACCATCACAGAAGGAATGTTTGTGGTTTTTTTTTTTTTTTTCCTGAACATTTGTCAGGTGTCTTACCTAGCTGCTGTTGACCCCAGAGAGGTGGATGAAGCCTTAACGGGGCCTGAGTTCTGCTCTCAGAAGTGAGTGAAATGGTTGCTAACAGAAATTTCAATGCAAACTTGGTTAGGACTTTTTTTTTTGTGCAAAAATTAGCTCATCCCCAGTGTAAACCCTCTGTATAATTTTCATCAAATCACAGTATGAAGAGTGGAGAGTGTAAATGAACAGCAATGGAAGTTCAGTTGTTGATACAGAAAGGTGGGAATCTCCTGGTCTTTTCAGATGTTGCAGTATAGTAGCCAAGTAACCTGTGGCTCCTTTTGGAAAGCACAGGGAGCAGAGCCCATGGACTCTCTCCCAGGAGGTTTCCCCTGGGGAGAACTGGGAGTTCCCACCTGTTCCCTGGATACTGGAGTTTAGCTGAGGAGTTGATAGCGAAGCCAGGCTTCTACCTATATTGTTCAGTGCTGCCCAGCAGTTATTCTTGCTCTAATTCAGTGCATTTTAGTAAGCTGATCAATTTGAAGTGTTTAAAAGTAATTGTGATTTCCTACAAATAAAAAGTCAGATTTTTTTTCAARAAAGAGGGAAAATCTATAAAAGAACACTGGATAAATAAGGGTGGGGGTTTTTTTACTTTTTTTTTTTTCTTTTTCCTGCTTAGATAAATAGTAGAGAACTTGCTTGGAGGGTGAGTGCCTGGAGATTCACCCACTTCATGGCTGGATTGTGATACCTCTTGCTCAGTTCTTTGCTGCTGTAGCTATACTCTTAACAGTACCTCAGCTTAAAAGAATTTAACATTAGCTCTGATGTGTTTAAGCAGARACTGCACTATAAAATAATGATGTTCTTGCAACATATTTGATGCTCCAGATTAGGTAAAATATTTGCCTTGCACATGTGCTCTTGGAAATTGAATGTTAGTGTATTTATTCTGCCAGAATATGGTCRTATTTATTTATAATTGGTGACACATATCTCTAATGTTACTTCTGAACAGTTCAGGTGTACTTCCATTTCATCATTGTTATCACGCTCTTTCCTATTAAACTGTGAACACAAAAATAAATACAAATAAAAAGCTTAGTACAAAGTTTGAATATCCTATCAAGTATTTAAACCAGTGCAAAGAATCCAAGCAAATTGTAACGAACTTTGGAAGGTGAGAGTGAAAATGGTACATGCAGAGTGGGCTGCTTATTACTGGGTAGCCCAAGCTCTAGTCAAACRTAACAGAAACTTAAGTTCTTGCTAGCTTTGGATTTCAGTTCTGTGTTTTCAGGCATTTAAAGTATAATATATTCCAAAATCTTCATGGGAAATGAGTTGTCTGCACTTTGTGAGGTGCAGCTGTAGCAGAGAAGTAAACTGAGGGAGTCTCTATATGAAGAAAAATAAAAGTAGTGGCAGTTTGGGAGAACTGTGACTCATTTCAACATTTGGATACGATAATGTGTTAAAAAACAGCCAACTTTATCCCACTGTAAATGACACTACTGGAAAAATCACAGAATACAACCTGCCTTTGTTTTGCAAACACTGCAGTAAATTATTATTAATAGAATTAATAGGAATGGGGGAAAGCTGCTGTCTTTTGTTCTTGCTATTATATAACATAACCATGTCAGTGATTTTTACATATGAAGGACTTTAAAAAGTGGTTACTTTGATTTCCTGTGCTGATGATTTGTACTTTATTAAATTATCTTGGGAGTAATGTAATTGTTGTATGAAAAATACATTATTTTGTTCCAGTTTTCATTATTGTTGTTAATTGCTTGGAATTTGAGGGCATTCACAACACCAAATACAGATGACTTTATGATGTAAAAAATTTTCATGAGGTTTCTTAAAGAAATCCAACCTAGCCATAATGGGCAAATGCACATACATCTTAATCAGCAACAAAAATGCTCTTTGTGGTATGTATTCTCTCCTAACTTGATTTTTTTTTTTGAAATTCAGAAAATGATTAAATTTTACAGAGTAATTTATTTGTAAAACTTCAAAACTGAAATTTTTATATCTTTTTCTTCAAATGGACTCTGCAGGTATATGTACTGTTTCACACTCATTTTAGCTGTGCCTCTAATCGAGTCRTCTAGTCTGAAGTTGACACTTCTGCACTATTTTATTATGTCAATAGAAACACAGCATTCCCAGCAAAATAGCTCTTTGAACTAGATCCCTTTTTTAATGTATTAATTGCTATCATTGACTATGTTGCATTGGATTGAGTTTCAGTCTTATTGGAAGCCTAATCAGGATTATTCTTGTTTCTGTTAAACTGCACTAGAAATGTATTCCTCCGCATGCTTGAAAATTTATATTTTGTGTTTCAGTTGTAATGGGTGGGCAATAACAATATGCAGCTTCAGCTCTTTCTCCAGGACAATGTTAAATCTGACATTCCTGTAAATTCTGACAGTTTGAGAATGGTAGCCTAGCATTTTTCTCTGATTYTAGAGAAGTTCTTTATTTTCTGTAGAAATACCTGAAGTTTCTATAGAAGTGTATGGATGATAAGGGAATTGATTTGTAAGTGTAGGTTTAGTAATAGAAGATCTTCTTTCTCCAGTGTGAATCAAGGGTAGTCAGTAGGAGTGCTGCTGATGGATAGACTAGCTTCTTTTGCCTTATGATACAAGCAAGTCTGTGCATAATACCTTGTTTGGGAATTCACTGAGCTATAGATTTTTCTGTGTAGTGTTCTAAATTATTGATGTACTGGATATATTTTTGAAATGTATGTTTAAATATCTAGCAAGAGAGCTGGCATGAAATAAATCATTTCTGCAATACACTTTTCCCTGGTATATTTTAGACATTCCAAATTCTCTTGATTTTTTTTTTTTATAGTATTCTGTCAGGGAAATACATCGTAATTTCTTTTTCTCTTTCCCTTGCAGAAATCAGAAGTTAAAATGAAGCGATAATTCAGCAGGGTGCCTGGGAGATGCACGTAAGGAAGCGGCGCGTTCCCACGGCCGGCAAGGCCCCGGTGTCCGGGGGATGAGCTGGGAAGGGCTGCTCTGCATCTCTGCCCTCTTCCACGAGCAATGGGGCTGTGCCTGGGACAGGAGTCCTTCTAGTACAGAAGGTTCACAGCCGAAGGAATGAAAGGAGGAAGTGTATTTAAAATTAAAATGTTTTGTCAGCTGTCTATAGCTGCTTTATAGGAGAAGTTCTTTTTTTTCCTTTTTTTTTCCCCTCTTTCTGATGAAGAATTACTTCTAAGAGAAGGTAAAGAACTGTCAACTGGGTATAGGAGATAGAAAAGCYGTATGCTAGAATGAGTAATAGTTCATCGCTTTTAGCACATCAGAATATTTCTAACAGTTAGTGCAACTACTGTATTTGACTTGTTTTCTGCTATACTCTACTTGATCTGTAGCTGCTCAAAATTTTAAGGTGYAGAAAATGTTGTGCACACAAGAAGACCAGTCTTTGCCATCAGTGTAGTAGGAATGACCTGCCCCATTAGGGTCGGTTAAAGACCTTCCCTCCAGAAGGTCCCCACTTCCAGAACAGCCCTCCATGCTCTCCCCATTCTTGCTCCACCAAATGTGCCTTTTATCTAGATTTTGTGGTAGACATTTTTATATGTTTGGTTCCGGAATAACTTAGTAAATGAATCATGCGTGTAGCTGTTCATAAAGACCAGTAACTGAAAGCTCTTTAGATCAAACAGCCATCTCATCTGTTGTCATAACCTGATATTATCACAATCTCTCATTATTTTATTGAGAGAAGAGTAGCAAAGCAGTCTTTGAGCAAAGTTTTATTTATTTAGTCCCCTCCACCATCAAAGACGATTTGGATATTGAAGCCAATTGCTCTCAACATAGTTAACAAACCACACGCTTCTTCTAGGCTTGCTGTGATAAGTGGTTATTGTTACTAAGCTTTGGAGTTCAGGGGATGGTAGGTGCCCTGTATTGAGCCTTAACTTTCCAATATTTGTTATTTCAGATGTGCCTTTTTAAGAGTATAACTTCTTTTGTGTAATCCTCAGAGGTTGCTAATGTGACTGGTCTGCTCAGTGAATTTTTAAGTCTTTTTGTGATAGTCTTTGGCTGTTGGGCTGCACATTACCAGGGTTGTGGATTAACCTTGTCCTGCCCGTGTGGTGGTGCTACTGCATCCCAGGCTCGGCTCTGCTGCCATAGAAATCTTGCGTTTTCATAAACATATCGTATCTTTTGCATCAACTCACCGTGCATTGGTTTGTTACACGACACTGTCTTCATTCATTCATTCATTCATTCATTTATTTTGAGAGAGATTTATCCAGAAGGCAAAGTTGGTCATGGCCAGACTGGGACTGGAAGGACCATTTTGCTTCGCTTGGGGAGAGGTGGTGCTGAGCTCCACCATAAGAATCCCTTCAGAAGCAGAGGGCAGGTGTTAGAGTGGTTTTATGAAGGTGGGTTACAAAATCACTTTTAAGAAAAGGTTCTCATCTGCCTTCCACAAAAATGGCTTATCTGGGTTAAAGGTGTGTGTTGGCRTAGCTCAGTCAGCATAAATTCAGAGCTGAGAAGAGATGGTGTCTGGATATTCTCCGTGGGAATCTGCTGCACCTTTGAAATGCAGGTGAGGGTTTATAGTTGTGCAGTCCAGTTCAAAGGCATAAACGGTTTTCAGAGGTTAGGGACGGTCACCTGCTCGGAGTAAACCTCGCAGAGGCAGGACCCTGCTCAGCATCTTTATTGGGCGTTCTGTGTTGGTGTTGTCCCTTGGATCCTGGCTCCTTTCCTAAGCAGTAGTGCTCCTGTAACCAACACCTGGTTTGCTCTTTGATTCCTTTTTGGAGAAGGTGGTTTCCAGGAATCGAGAGGAAGAGGCCCCACTCCATTAGAGGTGTTGGTGCACGAGGAGCTCCAGGTTGCACAGGTTTCACAAACAACTAGCCAGGCAGTCGCAAGAGGAGGGTGGCAGAGCGTGTTACCCCTTCAACGTGTGCACGAGGGCAGGCCACGGAGTGACCCGCACCGCAGTGGGGACAGGGATGAGGCACTGTGAATGGGGGACGGAGAGCGGATGCTGAGGAAGCGGGTGAGACGCGGAGCTGCRCGTGGGGGCAGCACCAGTGAGCTGGGCGGGAGCCCTGCTTGCACCCTGGGTAGGTTTGCACCTCACCTACAGATTTCTGTAGGAAAATGCTGACCCACTGACAGCCTGCCTAGAATATGTCACTGTGCGACTGCGAAAAGCCCCTCCTGGGCTGGGTGCTCTGCAACCACGCGGCAGCTTTTGCCCCTTAAGCATCTAAGCAAACACAGCTCGAGGGCTGAATTGAAGAGGCTGAGCTCCCTTCCCAGCAAGGAGAGTGGTAGGTGGGTTGGGAGAGAGAGTTCAGAGCACCAAAATGAAGCATCTGAAGGATCCTGCATCGCCTCAGAGAGAACTTCAGGCGTGGGCTGGGAAGGAGGAAGCAGTTGGAGGCAGACGAGCTAGACTAATGCATAAAGCATCTGTATAAAACACCCCAAACGCTGCAGCTCTCTGCAATGAAAGCTGAGTCCCTCTGAGAGCATCCTTAAGCAGAGGGAGCACAGATCTAGTTTCAGCAGCCTCCTTGGCAGCCAGTTGTAGGCCTGGCCTACTTAGCGGCTGCCTCTTCCATCCTGCAGCACAGCTCGCTCTCCAGGGCTGTTTATTGCTTCACTCTAGACAACAGGAAACCCCGTRTTGCTTTTCAAGAGCCCGGGGTTGCGAGATAAGCATCACAGAGCCCGAAATAGCCGCCTCATCATTCGAGTAAAGCAAAGTCCTGCCTCGGGAAACCATGGGCACCCTTGAAAAGTTCTAGGGAGCTACTCAAGCTACTCATCCTGGCAGATGGAAACAAAACAAACGAACAAAAAAAACCCAAAACAAACAACTAAAAAGAAGTACTGTCAGATATCAGGATCTCCCAGCTCAATATATTGTCCTTTTCTAGAATTTTTTTTGAATTGCAAGATTCTCTGGGGAAGAGTGAGAAAATCAAGAAGTTTAACTCCTTTGTAACCTTTGCAAAAGAAGTTTTATGTCGTGTAGCAGTTTTCTCAGTGCAATTGTTGACTTTTTGATTAAACGCTGAAGGTAGGAGCCTGAGGACTGACCCCCCCCTCAGAGCAGAACTCTGGTGGTGGTGACCAGGGATATCCCAACCAGAAATGCAGCTCTTCGAGGCCAAGGTGATGCCATCTCTGGGTGCCACTTAAATAGGAGAAACGTCGTATTTTACCCTTGCGGGTGTTTCCACATTCTTCAGTTTGGATCTTTGCCTCATTTTACAGCATTTGCCACAAACAGAACTCTGCTGACTGAAGATCCACTGTTAGAGGGGCAAATCTTATGTCTTGTGCCAGTTTAGCCCATCACTT